TAAAATAGTATTTTAAAGCCAAAATTAAACTCATTAATAAAAATATCCATTGAAATCTTTCCTACATAAGAAATCCACTTTCCTGGGTCCTCCTCCCCACTCTCTACTCTCAGGTTTTCTAGAAATAGCTAGAGAAGAGCAAGAGAGGCAGCTTTGTTTCTTTGCTTTTCTGGAAACCCTGAAACTGCCTCACCTTGCAGCAGGCAAAGGAGATTATGCCCCTGGCTTATCTGTTTTGCTTTCTCACTTTCTAAAGCTGGGATACCCCATGGAATAGATAGGGATGACCACTGGATTTGAGGTGAAAGAACCTGGGGTTGAGTCCCAGCTCCATTGCTTAAAGAACCGAAGCCTCAGTTTCCCCATCTGCAAAATGAGGGGACACCTGCCTTGCAAGGTTGCCACGAGGATCAGCACAGTGCGGGGCACACCAGGGTGGCGGCATTGGAACCTCCCCTGTGCTGGATCCTGAGGGCAGGGGGCTTAGGACAAGGAGGTTCTTGCCTGAGCACAGGGGCCTAGGCCGCTCCCTCTTACTTTGTGGCAGGAGGGTTTCTTCAAGGAGATGGCCCTGCGACAAACAAGGGCTTTCTCTCTCCCTCAGGCACAAGGTCCAGGCTCCGAAGGAATTTCTCACCACAGACAGAAAGGGGAAAGGCCAAGAAAGAGGTGGCTGGCTCAGGAGCAAGGTAGCAGCCCTGTGGACAGGGGTAGCTGTCCACAGGGCCACGGCAGCCACTGGCTGCAGCAGGAGGGGGCAGGGATTCAGGGACGGACTCAGACCTGCCTCCAACCCCTGCCTTGCTCACAGGGTCACCTGGCCACGCAGCCTCAGTTGGAACATCCCTAGAGAGCATCATGGGGAAGGTCCCCACGGAGGAAGAAAGGAAGGGGGATGAAGGTGCTTTCCATAAATACCTGGGAGGGAGGGGGTCAGATCAGAATTATCACCACCTCATTAATTCATTCAATGCACAAGACTTGGATCCCTCTCTGGATTGCTAGGCTCCAGGCATGCAAACAGAAATCCTACACATCCTCACCTTCCTAGGACAGTACCTGAGAGTGTGTAGAGGCTTCTACCTGGATGAGGGAGAAGGACCAGCAGGGGCAAGGCGGAGGGTGTGGAGGTGGAAGGCAGCTTCCTGGGATAACGGACAGTCAGGGAGCAATGAAGGAGGCGGGAAAGGCAGGTGGGGATCAGCTTGGAAAGGCAATTTCAGGTGTGTGGATTTTATTGGAAGCCAGGGAGAAGTTTTAAGCAGGGATTGCATTTTAGAAAGATCAGTTGGGGCGTGTCCATAGGGTGAAATGGAACCTGGAAACCAATACAGGGAGTACCAAGTCATACAAGTGCATTCAAGGGATGATGTGGGCCTGACAGGCATATGAGATGGGAAATAAGATTTGAGTGAAGAACTCCAGCATCATGGTCACCATGGGAGTCTGGGCCAGTGGGTAGAAATCAGGCTTAAAGGCCCCTGGGCTAGGTGGGCCAGTCTCCCTGGAGACCAGCACCCATGCGCTCGACACCGCCTCATCTTCTCGGGGTCCCCAGCATACCAGGTGGCTGGCCTTTCTCCCACTGAGACATCAGCAGAGGGGGCAGGAGAGGCCTTGCCCATAGAAATCTTGAGATAAAGATTATCCAGGTGGGCCCAATGGAATCACAAGTGTCTTTAATAAAAGTGGAAGAAGGAGGCAGAGCGGAGGCTGGCATGAGGGCACCATGGGTGGCCTCTAGAAGCAGGCAAAGGTGAGGAAATGGATTCTCCCTCAGAGCCTCCAGAAAGGAATGCAGCCCTGCCAACACCTTGACTTCTAGCCCAGTAAGACCCAGGTCAGACTTCCAGCCTACAGAACTGTGAGAGTAGAAGTGTTCGCTGTTTTAAGCCACTTATTCGTGGTAATTTATTATGGCAGCGAGCGGAAACAAAAGCAGGTTGTAAAGGCGGCTGCAACTTTAGAGAGACCTTCTCTAGCCACCTGACCTAGGGTCACCTTCGCATCACCCTCTACTCACTGCATTTTGCCATTTTATGTCCTCCAGTGTTGTTCATTTTTTGAAATGCCTGTGTTGACCCGATTGCCAGCCTTCCCGCATTCAATGGTAAGCTCCAAGAGAGCAGGCACACAGGTTATCCATCCATCACTGCATCCCCAGCACACACAAGTGCCTACAAAGCAGTGGCAGTTCCACAAATCCTTGGCCGGAAGATGAGTGGCTGGCTGAGTGAATACAGGTGGTGCCCCAATGGCATGAAATCTACCAAGGCAGAACGCTCAGGGTTCATAGTTCACACTTCCAGCCTCTGAAGGCACAATAAAAAGTGTGAACGCTCTCCTTGACCTCCTCCAGGATCTTCAGTCAGTTCAGGTCACACCTCTCTGAAGCCTCTTACAAAGCCTTCAGGGGTCTCAAGCCAACACTGATGCAGCCCTCCCAGGAAAATACTGGGTTGGCCAAAAAGTTCGATCGGGTTTTCCATCGGCTCGTATGGAAAAACCTGAATGAACTTTTTGGCCAGCCCAATATATGTGGAGAGCAAAATATTATAAATTGCCTCTGCGGGATATATGTATATGTATAACTGATTCACTTTGCTGTACACCTGAAACTAACACAATATTGTAAATCAACTATACTCCAATAAAAATTAAAAAAATAAATAGCCTCTGCCCAACAGAACCGAAGGGGCATATATGAGGAGATGGTTTACAAGTAAATACGGTAAGTGCCCCCTCCAGGTCAAACACTCAGGAAAGAGACCAAGCTGGCTTCAGAAGAGGCCTTGCCTTCTCCGACTTTGTTCGGTGTTTTCCAAGCTCCTTTGCAGACAGGCTGTTCCTCCAGGAAATGACTTGCCAGTCCAGACAAGGATGGCAAGCCAAGCCCAGGGGAGACTGGCTGAGGTCAGGCTGCTGCCTAACCCTGGGGTGGGGGCAACAGGAAACGGAACATGGCGCCAGGGAAGGCAGGCTCCTCACACAGGGAGTGTGAGGACAGGAGGCAGAAAAGATCTAACGGACGCTCTGCGCTTGCAAATTCAATCAAGACACGCAGCCTGGGAACAGGGCAGCATGTACAAAATGACGTTTATTGAATCCATTTTGGAAACGGACAGCATGAAAGGTTTTTGGTTTCGAGCCCACTCGGAGTTTAAGAGTCATGATCATTTCCTGTCATTAAACCTCAGCCACCGGAAGATCCTAGCTTAAATAACAAAAACGAATCCTCATCTTGTGAAGGGGAGAAAAAGTGGTTAAAAACACTACGGTTGGACTTCCCTGGTGGAGAAAAAGTGGTTAAAAACACTACGGTTGGACTTCCCTGGTGGCGCAGTGGTTAAGAATCCGCCTGCCGATGCAGGGGACACGGGTTCAAGCCCTGGTCCGGGAAGATCCCACATGCCGCACAGCAACTAAGCCCGTGCGCCACAGCTACTGAGCCCGCGTGCCACAACTATTGAAACCGGCGCACCTAGAGCCCATGCTCCACAACAAGAGAAGCCACCGCAATGAGAAGCCCGCACACCACAATGAAGAGTAGCCCCGGCTCGCCGAAACTAGAGAAAGCCTGCACGCAGCAACAAAGGCCCAACGCAGCCAAAAATCATAATAAAATTAAAACAAAAAAACAAAAAACAACACTACGGTTGTCGCTCTTGCAATAGCTCTGATGGCTAGAATGCTCATAGACATCAGCACAATTTTTATATGTACAGTGTGAAATACTGTACAAATATCAGGTGTGTACATCAAAGGTAAAGTTGTAAACTGGCTAACAATTCATTGGCAATTAAGTACACTGGGTCTGTACTGACACTCCCATTCTCAGCCTAAGAGCTTACATATTTAACTGATGACTGATGTCCCCATCAGGGGCATTTAGTGTGTGGAAAAAGCATTTAAAGACATATATATCATTCAGGTTGTAAACTAAAAAAGCAAACCCAAGCATGATTAATTACTTTGCCTGGATCAATAAATACTAGTCCCAAGTGCTAAGTGTACCAATAAGGACAGAAGCCATCAGTTAAATAAATCATCATGTTGTTACCTACTGATACCTGTTAGTGAATTTGTGGACTTTATCCAACGCATACACAGATTATTTTTTGTTTGAAATTCTCAGAAGATCTCCTTTGGACATTTCTCTTCCATCAATCTCTTAAAAGGATGAAAACGAAACAACTTTTTAAACAAACTTTCCAAATCAAAAGCCATCAAAAGCATGACTCTAGTCATATTTCAAATCTTCACCCAGAAGGGAAATGCTGTCAAGGCTTAGATGAGCTTAGAAGGTTTCCTCCTCTGTTGGCAGCTTAAACTGTCCTCATTCTCTCCCGGCCACCTCCTGCCACACTGGAAGCCAAACTGGCTCATGTCTCTGACATTTCATAAACAAGTTTCCAAAGATTAACAGGATACCTAGAAGGTGCCAGAAGGGCCCAGGGGCCTTCTCTTTTTTCTGGAGCTGTTATCAGCGGGGCCAACAGGCAAATACAAAAAGAACAGGGAGGTCAACGGAGATAAAAAGCCCAGACCTGGATGGAGGGAGGAATGCTGAGGATATATATAGCACAGTACCAAAGCCCGCTGCCCCAAAAACATTTCAAGGCCCCACAGGTTATACATTCCAGGCACTTCTTTAATCACAGGGAATGGACATCTCTCCAAAAGGTCCTGCCCACATCTTTCCCAGCTCCCTGCACTGTAGAGCGCTGAGACACCCCATTTGCTAGAACTCTCAGCTCATGAGACAAGCTGAGTCTCTCCATCTCAATGCAACTTTTCCTATAAACCACAACACTCACAAACACAGGCCACACTGGATTCAAGTCCAGCTGCTTCCAGAGCTCTGCGGCCTCTAAGCCCTGCCCATCACGGATCACTTTCACCCTGGACCACTTCCAGTCTCCTTTCTTAGGGGGTTTGCTATTTTTCAGTTTGAAGACACACCCCATTGGAAATGAGCGGTGCAAGATCCTACGTGCAAATACTCGCAAGCAATTTATTTTTGAAACGATGCACATTTAAAAAATTCAAGTCAAATCCAGGAACAGACTGGTTGGTTGGTATCAGCTGGCCCCATCCCCACAATAGGAAAAGGGTCGGTTTCTGAAATGAGAAAGGGAGGGAGGCACCAGCTACTCCACCGGGAAGGTCAGTTCCTTGAGTCGGGGAGGAAGCCTGAGAGGGGAATGCTGAGGCTTAATCAAAGACGGGGTTCCTCCAGCACTGTGGCCCTCCCAGGCCAAAAGCCAAGGGCAGCACATAGGGTCTGGATATAGGTGAGGACAGACCCTCACCCACTGGAAAGAGTGGGGCCACTCTTTCCCAGTAATTCTGAAACTGAAATGAAAGCTGCATTCCCAGAGTCAGGCTTGGGAGGGGCTGCAGTCTACTTTTACTCCACACAAGACGGAGAGAAGAGGTACCTCTCTATTGCCTCTTTTCACCCATCGGCCTCTGTATCACAAGGACCCTCAAGGGGAACGCCACACGCCAACACATCCTTGCTGGCTGTGTGTGTGGGTCGGACGACTTCCTGCTATAGGAACGCCAGGGGCACTGCGATATAGGGCTGGGGGGATCAGATAGTCCAGTATCTGAGGGGAAAGCCCAGAGAGGAGGATTTGAGTTGAGTCAGGCAGGCAAGGCTGAAAGTCAGAAGGTGAACATTAGGCAGTTGGATCTGTGTGGCCGCCAAGAGGTAGGTGGTCACAGTCACGAAAATGGAGAGGCTCACGACGGGGATTTTCCCAAGGGCGCTCACACTAGCCTGTACCTGGAAAGGCATAAGGCGGCATTGCCCAAAGGAAGAGCTCCCCTTGGCGGTCCTCGCGGATGAAGCCACCCTCATCCTGGTGGCCAGGCAGGAGCTGGGAGGTCCCAGAGGCGGGCATTCAGCTGAGGGATGCACAGTTCAGCTCTGAGTCCTCCTGGCTGCCCGCTGCCACCTGCTCCGGCTCATCGGGGCCATCAGTGATGTTGGGCTCACTGGAGCACTGCCGGTGGGGTGGCGGGAAGCTGGGTGGCAGAAGCAGGCACTTGTCCTCGCCGCCAGGCTCCTCCCCTAAGCCTGAGTGCATCCTGGTGGCCATGGCCAGCAGCTGGATGTCCGAGTGGGCATTGGCCACCGTGTGTCGCCGGACACTGCCACACTTCTCTAGGTAGGCCTCACCCTCTTGCTCCGTCAGAGGGGTCAGGGCCATCTCGTTCAGGGGCCGGCTGACGGCGGTCATCGGGGAGGCGTAGTTCAAGAGCGTGACCTTGGGCCGGGCCCTGGAGTGGCGCCTGGCTGCAAGAGAAAGACCAGCGAAGGTTGTGATTGCAGAGGGGATAGTGGGAGTCAAAAACTCCTAATGAATTTGGGGGACGAGGGAGGTGGTGGCCCCACCTTCAGAGAGAGCTTTAGATGAAGCCCTAAAACGTGAGGGAAGAACTTGGCTATGTCTAAAGGCTTCTGTTGTAACTTTACTTGTTTATGCCTGATACTGCCCCCCACAGTAGGGGTCACCAAAGGACTTTCCATGATTGATTAGGTCCAAGGGAGTCTCCCCCCGCTTTCCCTGCTGCTGCCTGAGCTTCGTTGGATTTGCCCTCAATTCCCTTTCAACCAGTCTCCTCTGAAGACCCGGGCACTGGCTGGACCAGCTGCCAAAAGAAGCCCTCGGCTCTGTTCAGCATGATGTGCTCTCTGCAGTGTCAACAGAGGAAGTGGAAAAGGCCTCATAAGCTTAAGTCTGGAGGAACAGGTTACTGGGGGGAGCTCGGCTATCAAAGCGAGGGCAGTGGGACGTCCTCCAGATCGTCCTGAAGCAGGACTATCAACGCTCCCAGCAGGTCAGTGGTCTGAGACCCGTGTTCTGTTCGAGTCAATACTCTGGATTCAACCAGCCTTTCACAGCATCAAAGAATGGATGACGCTCCATGGCAGGCCCCACTGAGGAAGGCAGAGAGAGGGCTGGACAGGAATTATTATAAAACTGCTGCTTCTTGAATTCTCACCACACTCTAGAAAATATGCTCAACCTCCACATGCTTTTGTCTTTTGAATCCTCCTTAAACTGAACCTAAGTTATGATCGTTTTCTCATCTGTAAAGTGGGAGACAATATGATTATCAGAGAGGTAGTAACTAGCCTACGCTCACACGGAGAGAACGTAGTAAAGCTGGGATGCAAACAAGGTCTGTCTCACTCCAGACCTCACTCTTGCAAGCTGCCCACACAAAGTACACATAGTGAGACTGAGCATCTCGTGGGAAGGACAAGCCAAGTTCATGGGGTTCAAATCCAGGGAGAAGAATCCAAAGGAGGAAGCACGTGTACCAGCAACACCCAGTTCTGAGGGCCTCTCATCTCCCGCCTTCACAAGGACCAGGCCAGTCCAGAGACCTACAGTGTGGCCGGAGTAGGGACCAGGGTAAGCCTGCATCCCCAAGGTCCCAGGGAAGCCTCCTCTGCAGGCACTGTCCTCTTCTCCTGCTCAGGCACTGCGTCTGCATCACTAACTGGATGAAAGACCCCAGCGAGGCAGAGGAGGTGAGGATGGAGGGCTGAGGAACGGTGGGTTCTGTTCAAAGCCTTTTCTCCTTTTCTTTGGCCCTCTTCCTGCCAGTGCACACGTCTCCCAGCCTTCCAACTGCCCATCTCGTTGCGTGTGTCACTGCTTTCCCCAGCTCCCTCATCCCTGAGACCCCAAAGACCCCTAACACATCCCTCTCTCAGCAGGGGATGCCGTGGGGAGAAATGAAGAAGGGTTGACTGCGCTGGTACTCCCAGCACCCCTGACAGGATCACAGAGGGGGAGGGGGGAAACTAGTCTCTAAAGGGAGAGCAGACAGTGCTCACTGGTCACACACTGGCCTTGGGGACACTCGGCCCATGCTGCTCTAGTTTGGTGTCAGCTCTTCCCATGGATCTGGAGGCCCTGATACATGCTCTCAGCCTGTGCTCCTAGATGGGCATTGTAGTGAGGCTGCCATGTCCAGCTGCAAAGCTCTCAGCAGTTCCCAGCACTGGACGATTTTCCATGTCCATATATGCACATATGTATTTACGTATATGTGCATATGTATATACATACGTGTGTCTATATGTATACATATACATACATACATATATATATACACACACATATACACACACACATAGGTATAAACAATGACAAGAGAATGAAATGCTAACCCTTAGAACTAAGTTCACCAAGACTACTGGCTCAGAGCCCCAGGGGAGCTGTTCGGTGCTAATAGCAATAGCTGATATTTCTCAAAACCAAACAATAATACATAGAATTTAGAGCTTACTGAGAGTGTTCCCATCTGCCTTCTCACTATTGAATCCCAATCTCCCTCTGAAACACTAGGACGGCTCTCATCATCCCCATTGCTCGGATGAGGAAGACTGAGACTTGGCCCAACCCTCTGAGGCTCTAAATGGCAGTGCCCAGACGCTCCCCACTACACACTACTGCCTCTCAGGGCTCCGCCGCTGCGCTTGAGCCGGCCCACTCTCTGAATTCAGGTAACAGCAAACACGGCCTCCAGTAGTGCCAGACAGAGGCGTCATCAGCCCCTTCTCTGGGGAAGAATGAATAGGAGACAGAATGCCAAGGAGCCACCAGGACAGAAGAATCGATGCCAGATGTCGGCAGAGGTCCTCTCAAGCATGGGTGCTTGTACGTGCCAAGCCGCACATTTCTATGATGTTCCCACATTTTTACAATAACCATGTATTACTTTTATGATCACAGAAATCGGTAACTATAAAGCAGAAGCACCAGAAGAGTTCAAAGAAGCAGGGACCTCATTAAAGAACCATCCATTAAAAAATGCCCTTGAAAACAATTCATTTCTCTCCTGCTGCTGTTAAAAGCAAGCACACTCTAGGTTGGCAGTGGCAAGACCCAGGTTGTGGCCCTACAACCAGCCTGGCAGGAGACTGGGCTGGACTGTTCGGTGAGCATTTACTACATGCAGATCCAGGAAGAGGAAAGAGGTAGGACAAAGCCCAGGCCCAGGACATGGGATGAGGTGAGGGCCTGGGGGACAAATGTGCATGGTGAACACACACAGAAGCTCTGGGGGAAAGAATTCATTTGATGATTTCCATAGTAGAATGAGCTAGCAAGGTGTCTCAGATGGGGGCTTGGGCATTGTCCATCTCTCACACCGTTAGTTCAGCACCCCAAAGGCCCTGGAGGGAGCAAACTGACAAGACAGGCCACTTGGGCTGCTGCGGAGAGATGGAGCCAGAGGGAGGGCGGCCAGCCTGGAGGAGGGGGTCCCCATGACATCTTCCCCCTCTTTCAGCAAACACATCTTGAACTTTGTGCAAGATGCTGTGCGCACTGCTGAGAGCAAGAGAAATGTAAATCTGATATGGGGCCTGCACAGGGCCTGGAGCGCAGGGGATACGTGCGTTGGAGAGGGGTAGAGTCTCAGGCGCAATCATTAACTGAGCCTCTACTCTGCACTGTATCAAAAAAGGAGAAGCTCTACTGACATGATCTCCTGCTAACTATTTTGCAGAAAAGGAACCTGAGGTTGAGATGCTATATCATTTTACAGTCACGATTAGTGATGAAACCAGGATTCAAACCCAAGGCTGACAGCACAGCCCTTGCTCCTGACCTCTGGGAGGCCCACACACAAATCAGTGTCCAATGGCAGGGCAGGGCTACAGACAGAGCGCTCTGGGGATTCAGGGGAGGAGTCGTGAAGAGGGGTCGTCCTAGATGGGCCTGCTCCTTTGAGAGGGATGGACAGCCTGCACCCCAGCTGGTGGTTCATTTATCCCCTCCCTCGGAGGAGAGGTCTGTGCCAGGCCTGGGATACAGGTGAGCCACATGCAACGAGCTCCTGGTCTAAGGGGGAGACCAACAAATAATCAGGTCATGACTACACACCATGGCAAGGGCCAGAATGTGGTTTGGGGTCCAGAGAAGGGAAGGGGAGGCACACACAACTCCTCACCTGGGGTGATTCCACAGGCCCCAGGCCATTCTAGCTGGGGTCCATAATACAGCAGGTGGCAGCTCTGCCTGGGCCCTGCCCTGAGACAGGGCGTCTTCTTCCTCCTCTGTGCTCGGCCCTCTGCAGCTCAGAGACGTTAAGTAACTTACTCCAGGGCACACAGCTGAAGCCCAGCCCTTGTGGTTTTCAGGGCCCCGCTCCTTCTGCGGCTGGCCTCACCTCTCTCCTTAGGGCTGTTGCCTGACGCTGACTGAGAGGCCTCCAGCTCTTCCTCCTGCATTCTGGGTGGAATGTGTTGGCTCCCAAGACTGGGTGTGGGCACAGCCGAGACCACAGGGGCCGCTGGGCTGTGTGAGTCCCCTGGGCAGACAGTGTGTCCTTACGAAGCTCCCACCGGATTCCAGAGCCAACCCCAGGACAAGTATACGCCAAGCTGTGTCCCCGGCGAGGTCAGACCCCGCTAGGGCCCCTTGGGAGGCCTTAAAACTGAAGAGTAGGCCTGGAGCTGACAGTGGCCTCCCCACACTGTGGCTGCTTGCTCTCTTTTCCCTCTTTTTCTTATTTGTATCAGGGAAAGCTGGGCCCTGCCACTCAGAGAAGGAAATTTCCATTAAGGGACTGACTAAGCTGTGGACCTCCCCTGGGGCCTAAAAACTGGTCCCTCCCCTGCAAGGGGGCCCTTGGAGCAGGGAGAGGGGCTGGGCCCTGCCACCTCCTGTACCCACTTCCAGGCCTCCTCCCGCCTGTCACATGGGGTATGGCGAGGGGAGCCTTTGTTCCCCCCTCACTCCCCAGGCACCCCGCTGAGCCCTGGCATTCATCCCTCTGCTCCGGAGCCAGACATGGCAGCTCCTTTCAACTCCCCAGAGAGAAGCAAAGCCTGGAGGAGGCGGTCCTTTCTTGGGGACTCTGTTCCCAGGCCTTTGATCTCCCAGGCTCACCGGCCGGGCCTCACCAGAGTGGCCCCCATAAGGCAGGCATTTGATCCCTGCCCACCACGTCCACGGTGGGTGTCCCTCTTCAGGCCCCAGCACCTGAAAGCCCATGAATGCCTACTGGGCACAGGGACGAGTTACAGTATGTTGAGGAAAAGGGCCCTCCCCCTGAGGGAGGACACAATGGGGACACATGTGGGAGGCCAGGCTTCCATGTGGGAGACACCGCGCACTACACAGGCCAGGGCAGCAGCCTGCAAACTTGGGAAACCAGAAAGGTAGAAACACGGGCCTGGCCTCTGACAAAGCAGCCTGGATTTTTTTTGTTTTCTTGTTTTTTTTTTAAGATTTCATTATCTTCCTCCTCTTCCCACACTCCGTCTGCCCAAGAAAAGTGACAGCTTTGGCAGGGAGGACACACACACACACACACACACTCACTCCATCACGGCCTTGGACTCATCTTTTCTCTCTGAAGCGAGCCTTGCACAGCTGCAGGGTGAGGCTTAACTCTCAGACCCATCGGCCTGGCCAGTAGGAAGAGGGCCTGCCCTTGAGTCCCCAGATCAACCCGTGTGGGCACGTGGGTGCAGTGGGGAGCCCCCTGGAAAACCACTTCTCTGGCTCTGGTCACCTACCCCATGTGACCCGGGGGACGTTTCTTACCAACGCTGAGTCTGAGGTCACAACAGCAGGCACCCTCGCAGCGGTCCGTGAGGGTGATTACATGCCAAGCCCTTGCTCAGGGCCTGGAAGGTGACGAGCATTTGATAAGGGGTGGCTTTGGAGATGACGGTCCCAGCTGCCCTTGACCCCTCCCACCGAGTCAGGCCCAGAGCGGCCGTGGCAAAGCCCTCCCGAGGGTCCAGGGATCTCTCACGTCCACTCCATCTCCTCAGTCTTTACGTCGGCCGGCCGTCATAACGGGCAGCTGCCTTTTCCACAGGCAGGAGAAATGTCATTGCCTCCAACTGACTGAGGGGAAGACTGAGGCCCAGAGACTCCTCTCTTTATCTAGAAAGGGGTGTCCTCGATAAGGAAGGGCACCTTCGTGGCCGTGTTAGCCTTTTGGTATCCAGGGGTTTGGGATGACATGTCGGCCTCGGACACCTCTTGGGCTAAGGAGTGTGTGGACAAAGAATGTCGGCTGCCGTGTCAGTAAACAAAGGGGTTGTGGCCATCAAGCCCTCAGCCACAGAAGCTGTCCCCTGAGGGGATTCAGGATGGAGAAGAGCAGGATACTGGCCCTAGAGAGTTAAGGTGGGTATCAAAGGAATGATTTCAATGAGCCCAGACTCTTGCATCTTCCCATATGCAGAAAAGCGCAAAATTCACTGACTTGAGACGTCTATTTTTCTTTAACAGTATTCTTTCAATGTTCTGACTACCTGGTCTTTGTTGCAAAAACTTCTACATATCCTGGCTCCTCCCTTACCTCATTGGAACAGTCCCTCAGAGCTCTCTGAGAGGCTGTCTTCTGCACTTAAGTCCTCAGTGTGTCCGTCGAATAAAACATAATTCTCAACTTTCAGGTTGTATATTTTTTTCAGTCGACAACTGAGAGGGAAAGACCAGCTCCTCCGCTGTCCCTCAGTGAAATCAGTCACCTCCTAGGAGTTGATGGGGTGGGTGGGGTGCGGGTGGAGTGTGGGGAAAAGCTGGTAAAGGGCAAACAGCTCGGGGCTTTGGAAGCCTGTCTCCAATAGCCAAGCGACCTTGACCTTCATTCGCCTCCCCTGTGCGTGGGAAGGTGGTATCCAGCCCACCCGCACAGTGCCCAGGATGTGGTCTGTGTCCCGGGGCTTTCCCTGCCATCAGCCACGCTAAAACTCTAAGGCCCTCTCAGTTCCTCCAATGCTCCACCCTCCTGCTCCCCGCCCTCCTCCCCCCAACTCCAAAACCCTCCCAAAGATCCTTCCCTTTGCCCAGGACAGTCTTCCTTTCCCGTTTACTCAGCTAACTTATATTCATCCTCCAGGTCCCACTGCGGATACCACTTCCTCCAGGGAGTCCTCCCTGATTTCCCAGTCCCGGTGAAGTCCTCCTGCCGTGGGCCCTGGACTTCCCCACTCAGAGCGCTCGTACACTGATGAGTCATCATCTATTGCTTGTGACTTCTTCACCAGACCCTGCATCCCAGAGGGCAGGGATGGGTCAGTTTTGTCACAGATAAACCTGCAGCACCTCACAAGGTGCCAGGGACAGGGTCTCAGTACACATTTGCTGAAACAATAATATAATAAAAAAATAATCAAAAGAAGGTCATTTCCTTCCCTCTCTGCCCCTACTGTGACAACGCCCCGGAGAAAAGGATTGTCCTTGGTATAAGAATAAAACCTCAGGCCTTTGGTTTATAATTTGATGAAAGTATGTTTTAGTCTTATTATAGCTGAAAAGTTGAAGGTATCCCTTCTTAGAGCAAGTCCTCACTGAACAAACTTCCAAATCTATTCTTGTTCCCGGCTCTAGGCCCAGAGGATGGTGGGGTCCGTGCCATGGCCTGGCTAACCCGCTGGCATCTTGACACCTGCCCCAAAAACTCGGGGGCCAGTTGCTGGGCCAAAGCCGGAAGGTGGCGCCCAGGCCTCCTCACGGGGAGGGCAGGGGACTGTTTTCCTTCAGCCGGGTGGAATGAGGGAGGGAGGCAGAGAAGGAGGGAGTGTGGAAGACCAGGCTCGGGCCAGCACCCTCGGATCTGTGGTGGCTGTGGTTATACTGGTGTCTCCAGAGAAGCATAAATGGGGCCTGAAAACTGTGGCCGGCCCTGCCTTTTTCTGCAGTCCTGAGGCCCAGGAAGGGGCGGGAAGCCTGCTGGAGGCTGCTCCTCCCTCCTTTTCTTTGAAGCTCAGCTAGGTCTCCATGCAAGCAAGAAGAGGGGGCAAAAGGTTCCAAATTTGGGGAATCCCTTTCCGCCTCTGCACCTGTCTGTGGGTGCTGGTCACCCCAGCCCCAGGTACAGACGCCGCCCATCCATCTAACAAATATAGTTTTTTGAGTGCCTACTGTATGTCAGGCACCATCCTGGATGCTGGAGATAGAACCACAAACCCAAAGTTCATGCATTTGAGGGATTTTCATTTCAGAGGGTAACTGAGCCATATCTTTTATAATATTCTGTAGCTATTTTCCCATCTAGGCCATGGTCTCCCTGAGAGAAGGAACAGACCCAATTCATCTCTAGATTCGCCAGGGTGACTAGTACAGAGCCTGAATGCTAGCTTTACAGCCACTGAAAAAGGCCACAACGGGATCTGTCCTCCAGTCTAGGAGCCCCTGTCCTTGGTGTGAAGGCCCTGGTGGTAACTATAGAAATGTAGTGGGCAGCCAGCAGCTGTACCTCCAGCCACACACACAATGAGCTGGCTTCACATTCTGAGCTGCTTTCAAAGGGAAATTCATCACTGGTGGTTTTTCCACTCATGAGGGGATGCGGTGCAGTAAGGCCGTTTCTGGTATGAGATACAGGAAAATTAACATCGCAGACACCGAAAAAGATCAAAGCCACCGATCAAAGATGCGGATCAAACGAGCGCCGCCACGGAGGTACGGTAACGGTGCCTTGGGAGGAATTGCCAAGAGGGGAGGTTACCGAGACACAGGCCAGTGGGAAACATGAGAGATGGACATGCAGAGATTTGCATGACCCACATGGGAAGCAAAGGGCTTGGGATATAATCGGGGCTCGGTAAAACATAGCTGGTATCATTGCCACAGAGGCTCCTGGCAGCTTGAGAGCTGTGCCCCTTACCCAGTGTGTACGTGGGGCCTGAGGCGCTGCGGTCCTCGCTGATGCCGAGGAAAGGAGAAACGACCTGCTTCACCAGCTCCTCCAGCTGCAAATAACCCTCGCTTGGGCCTGTGGGCTCGTGGACACTCTGGAAATAAACACCCAAGAGAGACAAAGGTCAGTCAAAGTCCGACTGCCCTCCTACTATAATCAAGGCAGGCCGCATCCTTGTGGCTGAAAGGAAGGACAGCCAGGACTGAAGCCTCAGGCACTTGTCATGGGTGGCGGTGATCGGCACCGCGCATGGAGAGCACCGTGGCCTCTGCGGTTGGATCCCACCCTGATGCAGGGCCCGTGGGAACTGTCCCCACCCCAGCTCCAGGGCTGAGGTCTGAGTGGTTCCAACCGTAGCACTCTCACCCGCACTGTCACAATGACTGTTTCACACCTGGCACACAGGCGCTTTATATAAGCACTTCACGTGTATCAGAGCACGGAGGCCTCCCAACAACCCTCGTCATCTGCCTTATACACATGAGGAAAGTAAGACCCAGAAAGCTCATGTAACTTGCCCAGGGAGACACAGCTGGAAAGTGGCAAAAACCTGGGACTGGAACACAAGCTGTCTGGCTCCAAGCCCATCTTACTGCCCCTTGTTAATTAGCTAGAAAAGAAAGGGGAACAGAATTTGGAGAAGTCCAGAACAGTTGAAGAAAGGGAGTGTCACTGTGGAACTAGACACATATTTAGCACCAAGATGAAGGATCAGTTCAAAAGCCCAGCGCGACAGGAGTCCTCAGAGCTAAAAGGAGCCAGAAGGTCACCAAGGTTTTCTAGAAAAACAGCAGACTCCAAGGGAATTCAATTTCTCACTGGAAAGCCCTGGAAGCCAGGTGGTCATGTTGAGGGGCTGCAGGGGAGCAGAGACAAGGCTCTGCGGGGGCTTGCTCAGCCCAAAGGGTTGTCCAATCAAATTCTCAACACGGAATAGATTTTATGTCACCCTCACTTGAAAAGTGAAAACTCTCCACTGCACTGGAGTTTTGGAGGCTGGGCCATGAAGGGGGAAGGGCCAGTCCTACAGGCTGGAGATCACTGGGTGAGGTGTAAGAAGCCCCCAAGGAAACTGGCTGACGTGGTCCCTCGTCAGCTCCATCACCGTGCGAAGGAGGTGGCTGGGGGCAGTGGGAGGGAGGGGGAAGCTTAAGGAAACACAGAGGAGGCTGAGGAGGGGCTATGATGCAGAAGACTTGGGAGTTAGGGCTGGGAATGGCCTGGAAAAGAAATGAAGAGAAAATGCAACTGGGGCTGCCTGGCGCTTGAAAGGGGTGATGATGGGGAGACGACTTGGTGGTTTTTCACGCCCCCAGGTTCCAATACTGCTTAGCAGGAGCTGAAGCATTGGGAAAGGCCAGCAGTGGAAATAAGATGCTTCACACACAAATCTGCCCAAATGGAAGGGGATCCTCCAGGCAATAGAAGGGCGCAGGGAGCCTTATTCATGCTCCCAGAGACCCACCCCCGGCCTCAAAAGTGGACCAGTTTCAGCCCCAAAACCACCTTGGTTGGGTTTCAGATCTGAGGAAACTTTTTTTTCTCATTTTTTTAATGCCTTGATATTTCTCATCTAAGCCTCTCCCCCTCTACAATTCCTAAGCATTAAACAGAGAGGGATGACAGAATAAGGAAAAGAGGAAGGAGGTGGGAAGAAAATGCTTAACTAACAAACGCATTGATCCGGAGCTGGATGGTTTTCTCCCTGGGCTGAGAACTTGACTTGCACACAGCCCTCTAGGAGGGAGCTGCCCTCAGCCCTTGGCCTGGCCGCTGGACGGGCTACGTATCTGCAAGGCCCAGTGCAAGAGGAAAACGCGGGGTTCCTGGTTCAAAAATTGTTAAAGAGTTTCCCGATGGCGACAGGAGACAATTAAACCAAGCACGGGGCCCTGCTGAGACTGGGGGCCCTGGGGCCCGGCCCGGCAGGGAGCACATCTGCTTGGCTTGGCAGGTCCCCTAGGAAGGGACCATTCTAGGATGGTCTCAGACCTGTCTGCCACTGCCAGGGGAAACCGGATCTCCACAGTGGTCAAAATCTCTGGCTCAGCCTCTTCCTGGACAGCCTAAGGACAGGAGCTCATGGCCCACAGTAGTTTGAACCCCTTGTATATTTTGGGGAGGGAGGGGTTTGTTCAGGGACATTTTGGAAAAGCACTGGAAAAGGGAGAGATGGCCTGAGAAATGGCTCTTTTCTCCATATGAGTTAGGCAGGGAAAAACCAGCCCCAGATCTCATGGCGCTGTGGGAAGTAGGGGCCCAGGGAGCGAGCAGAGCAATTCTAACTACCGGGGCCTAAATTTCCTGTAGCGGGAATGGTCCCAGGGTAGTACAACCTGCACGTTCCATTCAGATCCAGAAGCTGCCGCCCCTTGCCACCCAAGGAGCTGGACCTGGACTGGGGAAAAATCTGCCTTTGTCACTGTCACACTCCCGCCTCCGGCTTCCTAGCTCCCAGAGTGTAGAAAAACATGGACCAGGGAACCAGTCCCAGGAGGCCCTCGGAGAAATGATGCCAAATGTCCTGTGTCAAAGAGACCATCTCAGAAGCTCATGGGGCATCTCCAAGTACCCTGGGAGGCTGCGGGAGGGGAGGCAGTGGTAGCCGGGAGAGGCTAGGTGGGAAGGTAGAAAGAGCGAGAGCTGAGGAATGGGTGACAAATCCAGCTCTCTTACAAATCAGCACATGACCTTGAGTTAGTTTGCCAACATCTCTGAACCTCCATCTCATCTGTGAAATGGGAAAACAGAGACTGTTTCCTTGCCCGACTTCCAAGAATATAAATGGAAATGGAAGTGTGGAAGGCCAACTTTCCTTTCCTAATCTTCCTCTCCGAATCCCAGAGGCCTCCTTTTCTACACTCCTTCTTCAGGACCCAAGCCCTATTTTATGCTCCACAGACCTCAGCTGCATGCGCATGCTTTTCTATCCCCATTCCTTCTCCTTCCTTTTCATAAAAATACTTAACCTGGTATTCTAGCCAATGACACCCCCTCTTGCTCTGTTAGGTAACCCTTCCTCCTCTCTGACCTCAGGAAAGGGGAGAAGGCCCAGAAGGACGGCCCAGCTAGAGAACCGGAAGAACACAGCAGCTAGCGGGGAGGGAGAGATCAGGGGTTCCACACCTGACGCTCCACCCCTGCCGAGACGGCAGCCAGGGATACTCACCAGCCTGACCAAGAATGAAACTGTCTTCCCTGAGGACGGGCTCAGAGCTGAGGCTGCAGCATCTGAACTTGGTACAGAGGTCAGAGAGGCATAGCAGCCACCTTTTGGGGGATGTCCTTAGGACACAAGCCTTGTTTCTTGGAATTATGCACCCCTATCCACAGAACTGGGCTCACGGAGGCCACGTTTATTCTATGTGATCCTATTCAAGGTCCTAGCCGATTGCGCAAAGCGGAGTCACGTAGCCCGAGCTGGGCCAATCAGTCTTTCCCCTGAGTGTACATGGTTCTAAACCTTACTACCTCGTGCTGCGGGACCTCAGGCAAACACATAAACTTCCTGGGTTTCAGTCTCCTCATCTGTAAGATGGCACTAACAACAGTGTCCAGCTCATAAGGTTTGGATTATTTGATTCAGAAAGCAACACACTTTAAGTCCTTGGCCCATGCCTGGCAGATAGCCGGGAACCAACCAGGGTTAGCTCATCTTCCTATCGTTGATTTAGAATTGGGATTAAGAGATGCTAGGCAGCCACCTGGGTCATCTCTTGGTGGAAACATGCAAGCCGTGGGATGCCACGTTTGTCGGCGCAAACCGAAGCACTGAATGCAACTCTGCAGAGAGAGAGAGAGAGAGAGAGAGACCAAGTCCAAGAAGGCCAGGAGAGACAGGGTCAGAGAGAAGCCAGGTGGACCAGATACGAGTAGAGACCAGTAAGTGGAGAGAGGCTGGCAGCTTTGTGGCCTGACGTGGTCTCACTTGTGGCTGTAGCCCCTGAGGACCTTTCCTGTGGGTTCCTGGTCTGGCTTGAGCTGGGATGAAGTGGGTTCTGGTCGTAACTTACAACGCGAGGCTCCCTGACATGACAGGATGGGGGAGAAGGGTGTCCACTCCCTGAAGGACGGGGCAGTGTTCCTCTGGCTTCCCCCGGGATCCCAGCACCCAGCACAGCACGAGGGACCTTGACGGTGCACAGTGGACACACAGCAAATGGACAAATGAACTGGAACGTGACCGATGACACTAAAGGACACTAAACTGAGCCAGGGTGCTCTGGCCACAGGGCCCTTTCCCCCTCAACCTGCGGTGATGTCTCCGCCCACCCTCACCTGCAGGATGAGCAACATCTGGACGATGGATGAGGGCAGCTGGGGCTGGGCCAGCAGCAGCAAGTCATCCAGCTTCACCTTCAGCAGGACCAGGTCGCGGAAGCCCAGCAGGGAGATCTGGCGGATAGTCAGCTCCTGGCCCTGGCAGGAGAGAAGAAGAAGCAGCGTCGGGAGGTGAGAGCTGGCGGGATCTGCCACCAACCACATGGGGGCCAGTAAAACAAATGGATGGTCGGGGGGAACGAGGTGTCTGCAAGGCCCAGGGGGGCTGTCAAACAGTCACAGACTTGGCCCCTGTCCTTCAGAACAAAAGCTTCATTTACGATAAGGTGTGACTCGCTGATTTGAAAAGATCCATGCACCCCAATGTTCATAGCAGCATTATTTACAATAGCCAAGATGCGAACACAACCTAAATGTCATAGACAGATCGCTGGATAAAGAAGGTGTGGTGTGTGTATATAAATGAACACACACACACACACACACACACACACACACGCACACACACAAAGGAATACTACTCAGCCATAAAAAGGAATGAAATTTTGCCATTTGTAACAACATGGATGAAACTGGAGGGTATTACGCTTAGTGAAATAAGTCAGACAGAGAAAGACAAATGTTGTACCTTATCACTTATATGTGGAATCTAAAAAATAAAACAAACTAATGAATATAACAAAACAGAAACGGACTCATAGATACAGAGAACAAAGTAGTGGTTACCAGTGGGGAGAGGGAAGAGGGCAGGGGTAACACAGGGGTAGGGGATGAAGAGGTACAAACTACTAGGTATAAAATAAATAAGATACAAGGATATATTGTACAGCACAGGGAATATAGCCAATATTTTATAATAACTTTAAATGGAGTATAATCTATAAAAACATGGAATCACTATGCTGTACAACATTGTAAACTAATATTGTAAATCAATTATACTTCAGATAAGGTGTGACTCAACCTGCCTAGATGACCCAAAGGTGATACAAGACACGTACAGTGGGGGCCATGGTGTGCTAGTGGTCAGAAAGGAGGAAGATGAGGAGAAACGAGACGGAAGGACAACAGCGCCTCCCTACAGGCAAGGCTGCTTCCTCAGCTTCACCCATTCAATACCTGCTCACCTATCATGTGCCAGGCAAAGAAGGAAACACAGGACCTGTTAGACTCTTCTGCAAATGCAAGAAGCACAGGAGGAAAAACCACTGGGAAAGTAGAAGAAAGGGACTTGTTCAACCATGTAGGCTGGGGGCGGAGGATGAAAAGTGACTGATCATCATAAGAGCTGTGACCCTTACTAAGCTCTGACCATGTGCTAGGCTTGAGTCTCAATATCCTAGATGTAAATGGCACGTTTAATCCTCACGACCACCCCTGAGATAGATACTACTCTAAAACCCGCTCCACAGATGAAAAACCCTACACCCAGAGTGACAGGAATTTACCCAAGATAGAGCTGGATCTCAAACCTAAACTATTTGATTTTAGAGCTCCTAAAGTTTCCCAAAACAGAAAGGGAAAGGAGGGCCCATTTCCTGGACTCTCCTCTGCACATATACATACAGCGCACAACAAAAATCACCTTGGTAGAGGTGAGGTATCACTAGGGTATCCTCCCAAAGACGACATAGCTTCCCATCCCTCAAGTTGACCAAGGTTTAAGGAAGTTTTGCACTTCCTGCAACTCCTTAGGGTTTTACAGAAACATGGGCAAGAGAGGTTTTGCCATCCCCGCATCCCCCTACCCTCCAGTCCCAAGAGATACACGCCACCCATGCTTCACAGCCTCAGTTTAACCACTCCTTGAATGCCTTCCCCAACCACCTCCAATGACAGCGGTCCCCCCACTTTCCTCAAGGTCCTACAGTTTCTATTCTTTGCATCACATCCCAGCACTCGGCACTGACTTTCTATCTCGTACGTATCTGTGCTCTCGCTTCATCGCCAGGACTCCTTTCACTTTACAAGACAGAAAAAGGCAGGCAAAGTTCCACACCCTTGAACACAGTGGGCACGCAAACACATCGTCCAGTGAGGAAGCAGGTCTCACACAGACACCTACACAGCGAGTTGTGAGAAGGACCCAGCTGGACAAACAGACACCTCTGGGGGTGTCACTACCAGTAGTAAGAGTCCCTAACTCAGAGGTTCTCAAAGTGGGGTGTCTGGACCAGCAGTAGCACTTGGGAAATTGTGTGGGGGAGGGGCAGACAGGGGCAAGAGCGACTCTTGCCAGATCTTAGAATTTTTCAAAAGAAGCAAGACAGTACCATCCTCAGACTCGTGCAACTGGGCTCCTGCCTGGATTTGAGGCTAAAAAGGCCCCTCTTGGGCCTCCAATGACTGCACGGGGCCATGTCCACTCAGATCCCTCCCTCCCCATTCTAAATCCATCCGGGTATCTGCACCTTGGAGTTCCCTGCCCAAATGGTCCTAAGGGGGACCTAGGTCTACACCCCCTCTCCAGTAGGACTGCCAAATAAAGCGAAGGCTGTCCAGTTAAATTTGAATCATTTTTTAGCATAAGTATATCCCAAATACTGCATTATTCATTGTTTATCTGAAATTTAACTCAGCATCCTGTATTTTGATTTGCGAAATCTGGCAACCCTACCTCCCTGGTGTGTCTTCTTAAGACCCACTGTTGGCCGAGTGAGTATTGCAGAGAAGGGAGAAGTCTGTGGACACAGGGAGTGAACCATCCACATAAATGCTTCAAATCCTCTCGCAGGGGTGCAGGGTGGAACTGAGGATGAGATGAAAAGAGCAGTGCGCTGCAGACCAGACACTTCTCCTGGAATTGTTAGGGGCAAACCTGAATTGGGAGATGGACTCTGAAGGCATAACCTCCCAATTTTTAAATATTTGACATGTATTTAAAAGAATCCCAACTTCCTTTAAAATACCACTCAAGGCAAACAAAGCATGTGGGCCCTTACCTCTGGTCCAAGGTAATTCCTACCTTTGCTAATGGCTGCATTTTTGCAGCGCCCACGCCTGCACTTCAACAAACCTGATTAGATGTGATGCCTTAACCGCAGTGGGAGGAGTGCTCGTGAGCACATAGTAGCATAAGCGTATGACAGAGACATACATTTTGGAGAAGAATATTTATTGGTCAGTCTGCCTGAGGGGCTGTCCATTCTGACCCGGCACTGACCAGTCCTGCTATTGGCCCCTTCAGGAAGGTAGAGGGAAACCAACACATGTGGTAGAATGAGCTGAGCTCACAGAATAAGAAGCGTAAGAGATGCTACTCGGTTTTACTCTAAATTCCTCATTCTGCAGGAGATGAAACAGAGCTGTGCCTAGAAACAGGAAATGAGTTTGCCCAAACCCAGCTACTGATTCCAGGTCCCCAGTTCTTTCTGCGACATCATGGGCCTTCTCGTATTCAGGAATCCCTTACAAGGGGCAAGGAATATTGTCCCTTTCCCACAATTTGGGAGCCACAGAAAATTGTGCTTCAAAGAAGAAGGTGGAGAAAAGAAAAAAAAGGAAAGAAAAAGTCTCCTTGCCCCACCTTCCCTACTTCTGAAAAGTAAGAAGAAACAACCCACTCCAAGAATATACAGACATACTCAAAACCAAGAGGGAAGAGAGCGCCTACAAATTGCTAGGTCTGCAGGCACTGCTCGTTGCTTGAGGTTAGATGCTGAATATAGAACAGAGTGGCCTTCCAAAGATGTCCGAGGTCCTGAGCCAGCTCAGGCAGCGCCCAATCCCCTGGTTTTCCCCCATTCACTGGCAGGCCCCAGGGGGCAAAGGCCAAGGAATAAGACAGGCTGCCCAGACCGGCAGGAGGATGTTCCCCAGTAAGACTGACCTGAACTGGATAGAATATTGCTTGCAGGGTGGGGAGCGTCTCAGTGAAGAAGTGGTCCCAGACTTCAGCCAGAACCTCCATGCGATTTTCACCTACATGAGGGTGAGAAGATGGGAGGGGAGGAAGAAAGAAAAGAACTTGGTCATTACTTGCAGGAGAGGCCACGTCAGACGGAGCATGGGATGGTCGTGAGAGGAAGCTCATTATCTACTTTTGATCCAGAAGTGTTACTACAGTAAACATGGGATTGGATGGGAAAACTCGACCGAAAATATGCCTTCTCTCCCTTAATCCAGAAAAGGGAGCTGAATTTTGAAAAGCACGCCATAACTGTTATCGTCACGAGAATGGTTACAACATTATCAGGCCCTGTGCTAGATTATTTATCTATAAGCTATCTCATGAGTAGACGCTATTACCCCATTTTACAGCTCAGACAGGCCAGGTATCTGGGCTCAAAGTCACACAGGTAGAAGGCCAAGCTGGGATTCCAGAACCTGTGCTCTTGCCCATATGATCCAGAAAGATCATGTGCACAGTTATAAATTATTTTGTTTTTCATAATCACTAAGACACTGGCTTTTCAGTCTAGATTTGAGCTGTCACTTGAGAGAGATGGAAAGAGGGCTTAGAAACTATCACCTCCACCCACTGTAACCGGCAGGGCATTATTCTCTGAACAGTCACCTGCAAAACATGGGACCCACCTCCTGACTCTATGCCTACCCTCATCCCCCGGATCAGGAAGCCCAAGCCCTGGCCAAGCGCCACCCCCAGGCTAGATGGACATAGGTCACCCAACGCCACCGGAAGGCTGTTCGAGGGACTTTGCACCTGCAGGAAAGGCAGGCACTGGCAGAGCAGAGCCTGCACGGTGGCTGCTGTTTAATGACCTAGATAACAGAGCTGACTGGGCACTATCTCTGCTCAGCTGAGGCAGGGAAACTGGGTCAGCCAAGATTAGACCCTGAGAGATGCATCTGGCAATGCACGGCCAGTTCCACTGAACTGATCTTGAAAGAGTCATTTAGTGTTGTCCATCTATTAATTTAATGGACAACAAAAGCAGTGGCTGGCAGAGAAAACAGAACGAGGGCGTGACTAGTAGCTAGCAGGGCCAAAGCTGTGCAGATTTTGAAAGGTCAGAGTGAAATACACTGGAGAGAAATGCAAATCCACAGCACCCTCTACTTTCCCTCACTGTGTGCTAATTACACGTTGTTGGAATCACTCATTTACTTCTCTCTGTCTCCTCCACTAGAATGGGAGTGAGGGTCCCAGCCCTGTCTGTCCTGCTCACCATTCTATTTCTAGCACTTAGCCAGACACATCAGTAAATCAATGTTTGGAAATCTTTAAATGAATGAATGGCAAGTACTGAGTGCATAGGTTTTTGCAGATACTAGGGCTGGTGAGTGGAAGGAGGTTACCTTTTAACCCAAATATGGGACAGGACAGAGCAGGACTTAATAGCTAGCTCCAACACTTTCCTTTGCTCTTAGATAAAGAAACCACAGCATAGGCAATCTGGCTGGGGAGAGTCTGCTTCCTTCTTCTGTGTCTTCATCCTCTTCTGTATTCCCCTTGTATGTGACTTTTATTTCAGCCCCTCATGCTCACCATGCCCCCTCCATGCCACAGGGCCTTTGCACGTTCTAGTTCCTTTGGCTAGACTGTTCTTGCTCTCCTCTCTTTGCCTAATGTACATCCGTTTATCTTAATATTTTCAACTCCAGCATTACTTCCACAAGAAAGTCTCCCCCACTGGCCAAATCCCCCTATTATGGATTGTATTCTTAGTACTTGTCCCAGTTGGGGTTTTATATCTGATGGTGATTTGATTAATACCTGTCTCCACTACCAGGTAGTGAGGGCCTCGAGGACCTGAAATCCTATGAAGTTTTGTTCACCACTGTGTCCCCAGCACCTAGCAAAGTACCTGGTAAACAGTAGATAATCAGGGACTTCCCTGGTGGCACAGTGGTTAAGAATCCGCCTGCCAATGCAGGGTATACGGGTTCGAGCCCTGGTCCGGGAAGATCTCACATGCCATGGAGCAACTTAACCCGTGCGCCACAACTACTGAGTCTGCACTCTCGAGCCAGCGAGCCAAAACTACTGAGCCCGTGTGCCACAACTACTGAAGCCTGTACGCCTAGAGCCCATGCTCTGCAACAAGAGAAGCCACTGCAATGAGAAGCCCATGCACCACAACAAAGAGTAGCCCCCGCTCGCCGCAACTCGAGAAAGCCTGCGCACAGCGACGAAGACCCAACGCAGCAAAAAAAAAAAAAAAAAGTAGACAATCAATAAATGTTTGAATGAATGTATCAATCACCATTCTCTTTTCAAAGGTAGGCTAGTTCACTGCAGAGAAGAGGTCAGGAAGTCAAGAGGATGGTCTGAAATGTTAGGGCATCCTGGTGCCTAAAACCAAGGTGAATCCCAACACCTGGAGAGTGTATCTCAAAGGAGAAAAGGCTATGCCAGCTCCTTTATTGATGGCCCTTATCCTAAGTCTTCCATCAGAAAGATAAGCAGAGGCCCTCCCGACTGGAAGGAAGTGACAGAGAAGCCTGCTGTTCAGTGCTGGTGCCTACTTACTCCCCTTCACCTCCAAGATGGAATACTCATTAGCAATAAAGCCATCCTTCAACCTGGCAGCAGGAAGGCGCCTCTCCTGGGAACCTGGGTCTAACTGCCTGCTGCAAATCTCAGAGAGGAGTGAAGGTTTTGGAAAGTGTTCAGAGAAGAACATCAGAGAGACACAGGCTAACAAAACAGGGTAGCCCCGGGAAGAAAGACTTAAAGGAAGGAGGTGACTCCATCTCCAAGAACAGCCCACAAGTCAAGGCCTTAGCCCCCAGCAAAGATGAAAGGGGTTTGGATGGGAGGTTCTAGATGACTGTCCTATAAAAACTGTCCTCTAGTTGCCATAGAAGTTTAGATCGCCAGAGGTGTATAGAAGAGGTATGAGAAACTTCTTTAAAGCCAAGGTCACTAAAGCTCTAGAAAAGATTACAGAAAGTAACAAGGCATATTCTGTCCACGAAAGAGTACCACATAATGAGGGGCTACCTCTGTCCCTTCTGCAGCCGTCAGGTAGAGTGGATGTGTACAAGCCAGGTCAATAAAGTAAAGGTTGTTCAGTGATAGGATGGATCAAAACTCTATTTTATAGCAAAAGAATCCTTTTATCCAAATAAAATCTTTCTTGGAGTTGTAACACACAAAATGAAAAAGTAGAGATGTTCTGGTTAAAGATGTGAAAGACCCTTACAGGTTCCCACCTGCCCCTTCACTGTGCAGAAAGAACCTTGCCACCCAGACCCCAGGACAAGAAGGGACCCAGCAAGAATATCCCGGCCCACTGCTCTCTAGTCGTGCTTTGGGGCAGAAACACAGAACCTTGGACGCCCTTTGTTTATCCCGTCTAGCTCTGTGCCTGAGTTTTCACTCTGAACGTAGCTATGTTAAGTGTCACTTGGATGACAGACAGTCAACTTTCCCTTTTAAGGGTCCTTGACGCTCTGGTTTTCTCAGCATCTCTTTCATAATGCTGGCCTTCCGCATTTCCAGGAGCACGGAATAACTCCAAACGACTTACTAACGGGCAGGCAGCCACCTTTCACACTGGTGTACTAGCCTAACTCCAACACGCAAAAGGGCCACGAAGCTCTTGTCAAAGCCAGTCACTCAAAAATAAGGCCTTAGGTTACTGGGTATCTCTAAGGTTGAAAAAATCTCGGCGTAGTTGCATTGGAGGGAAACAAGGCTGCAGGCTCAGTCAATTCTTGAATAGACAGCGGTTAATTTCAAACCTCTCATTTTCCAAAGGTTTGGTGAGCACTCACTGTGTGCTGGGCACTGGGACCTTCCAGTGTCAATTTCTCATTTTTCTTCCTACTTTGTCTTTCTAGGAGACACTTCACTGGACACAAGTGTCTCTCCCAGGGAAGGGGAAGAAAAAACGAATGACGTACTGCCTGATAAGTCTGAATCTAGAAGTAAACTTGACCTACAGATGGAGGTCTCTAGGCTGGAATAGGAAAAAAAAAAAAGAAGGAACCAGTTTGCTTACCTACTATGTGCCAGGTATGGAGCTATGCCAGTTATACTTCCTATACTCCCTACGATCCCTAGTCCCATTTTATCATTTTAAAAATTATTTTAAAAAACCGAGGCTCAAAGAAGTGAGAAACTTGCCAAAAGTTACCCAAGAAGTAGGTGGAAAGCTGCATCTGGATCCACATTGGTGGGAGCTGAGATTAGCGGTTGGTGGAGCCACGGGGTCGGCCGACTCTTGCCTTTGGCCACCTCCCAGATCCATTCAGTGCCTTTCTATCCTGTCAGCTTGACTCTAGCACTTTTTTTTTTTTTTTGTGGTACGCGGGCCTCTCACTGTTGTGGCCTCTCCCGTTGCGGAGCACAGGCTCCGGACGCGCAGGCTCAGCGGCCATGGCTCACGGGCCCAGCCGCTCTGCGGCATGTGGGATCTTCCCGGACGGGGGCATGAACCCGCGTCCCCTGCATCGGCAGGCGGACTCTCAACCACTGCGCCACCAGGGAAGCCCTTTTCTTTGTTTAGTAAATCACCCCCCATTGAGTAGGTGCCTGCTTAGCCTCCTGTCCGTCAAGTGGGTTGGCCTCCTGACATGCACCACCTCAAGAAACAGTATTATACAAAGGCCAATAGGAAATAGCCTGGATCAAACCAGAGGGAACAGCATGGCAGGATCTGCAGTATAAGTTGTCCCTTCAAAGGAGCATGCATCCCATGAAAACCCCCCTTAACGGGGGTCTCCAAAGAGGCCACCCTAATTCCCCCTCAGTTCCCAAAACACAGTCTGACTTGCATTGCTGGGAGTGGCGAACTCGGGTGGAAATGCTGCCCCCTAGCTGGAGAAGGGGCGGCCGGGGTGAGGCACGCGCCTCTCTTGGACAGAAGCGTTCCGGCTGTCCGAGCATCAAAGGCTGAGTCAGGGGCCTGCCGGACGGGGGCCGCCTTGTACTTGCCTTCACACAGCTTAATCTTCTCCTCCACAAACAGCAGTCCTTTTGCTAGAAGCTGGTTCTGCCGAAAGAGAACAAAGGACACAAGAGTTGGGCTACTTCACCGCGTGACAAACCCAGATCCACTCCCAGTGGGCGAGGGCACAGGGTTCCAGGCACTCGGGCGCTGCTCAAGCCTCCAGGCTGAAAAAAGCCTTCTATCCTCTAGGAAGGCCGAGGCTTCTGGAGGCATCAGTGAGACAGCCCGAAGCAAAGGAAGGAGATGAGAGCCAAACCCAAGTGCCATCCCCGTCCCTCTGACCAGGGAATGGGCTGCCCCAAGCTTGGCTGAATTCTCTGGAAGGACTAGGGTAGACACCCAATGTCCTTCAAGCCCTTCGTGTAAAACTCAGAAAAGGGAGCACGGAAGCAATGGGAAATTATGCAGAAATAATGGATTTGTTTTATAAAAATGATTTTTTATAAAAACGATAAATCTCTCACGCTAGCATGAAAGAGACTGCCCACAAGACTTTAGGCAGCAGTGAGTGTGGGTCCGTCGATGAGCGTGTGCGTGGGAAAGTTGTGGAAAGAGGGAATAAGAGGAAGTCCCTTTGCAATTACAACTAACAATTGCTGAGTGTTTTGCATGTATCAGAGCGTTTATATTCTTCAGCTCATCTAATTCTGACCCTCCCAATAGTCCGGTCAAGTCGGTGCCATTACCCTGACTTCACTGATGGTCGGGGAAGAGGCTGGAACACAGGACACAGAGCTGGTCTTCCTAGCTCCACAAGCCATGTTCTGCCCACTCTGCTTTGCAGCCTTCCAGCAAGTCTTCCCACCCAGACCCCTCCTTCCCTCAGAAGGCTACAGCTGGTCCCACACGACGCAGGCAGCGCCTCCAAAGGTCACAGAAGCTCAGAGAGTAAGGATGCCTCCCCACTCACCACACATCTTTAGATTAGCAAAGGCCTATGCTTATGGGGTAGGGGATACACAGTGGTATATATCCTACCCCAAACCTAATGCGTTTCTTAGTACTCTCTTTTATAAAACCCTGAACCCTGTCACAGTGATGATGAGAGCATACATGGCAGAGAAGAAAGAACCTGGACATCAGACAGGGGTTTAAGTCCCAGCTCAGCGACTTTCTAGCTGTGTGACCTTGGACTTCATTTCCCTGCGTCTTGAGTCCCTCATCTACAAAATGACATCACAACAGCAATATCATAAAGTTCCTATAATAATTAACCATTATAAATACACACACACACACACACACACAAACACACACGGTGTTTTATGTTGCCGGTAATCAGTGGAATTGGGTAGTGATGACAAGAGTTGCTCTTTTAGCCCAGCTATCTTCACAAAAGGAGTGGGAGGTAAAGAGAGACAGTAATGAATGGACCTACATCAAGTATATTAAAGTATTTGATCAAAGGTACTGTCACATTCCTGTGACTAATACATACACACCAGATTTTATAGGTCCTATTAAAATTCACAAGCTATAACCTAATTTAAAAAGTAATTGGCCACCATTCAGTTTCAAGACGGAACTCCAACTCAAAGTTAGAGTGACATCCTATAGGAGTCTACCAACTCTGTTAAAGGAAAAAAAAAATCAATTCCTGTACTAGGAATCATGGAACAGACAGGTACTTAAGGTGAAACTCTGTGTTCTCTACCTTCTAGCCAAGCACACGAATCCCAGCAGCGAGAAAACACCACAGCACCAAACTGAAACGATCCAAATCAGGACTTTGTGCCAGCTGAGCTGGGCAGGAATGGACGGTGGAGGTGTTTCCAGATGGCAGTCACTCCCCCTGAATGGTTCTGAGCAAAGATCCCAATTGAGGTCTGAAGTGTCTGCCCGGGTCCCTTTCACTGGCCCAGACGAGGGCCTCAGGGAGTCCCCTTGGCACTCCGTGCAAGGACTCCTGATGCATTGTTCTCTGTCACCGCCTCTACTGCCAACACTGACACCTCAGCCTTCTTCCAGAACACCTACACTCTCCTTAATTTCATGTTTCTGAGATGCACCTACAAATGTAAGAGAGACTCCTCCCTATGACGCAGGCTTCATAATTTTGTTCCTTCACTGTAATTATCTACATTTTAAAGGTATGGGGGGCTAACCAAGGCACTGAGAGAGATAAAAAACTAGTCCAGGTTATATCATTAGTTAATAATGGAAATTAATTCAAACCCTGTATCTTATGTGTTAGGATTTTAGGTCCTTAGGAGTGAGGACCACTTAATTTAGTCCCCCTGGCTCTGAGAACAGTGCCTAGATCATAGCAGAAGCTAATAAATATTGAGTATATATTGCCTGTTTTGATGCTACAGACCATTCTTTGGTTTTAAGAAATCAAGATAAGAGACAGAATATTTGTGAGAGACAGTGATGTAGGTCCTTAAAATTCTGATACCCCATGCATTTGTACACCTTGCTCATATTTTAAAAATGGTATTTATTTTCATTTGATAAAAACTTCTTTGCATCTTACGACATAAACTTTAAAAAGTGGCCCAGGTTCTCCTTCCTCCTCTTTTCTATGTCTTCCCCCTTCAAGGAGACATTTGGGGCAAAAAAAAAAATTTTTTTTCAAGGAGAAGAAGTTATTTGTGTACTATGAAGGAATGGAAAACATTCACTTAAAAATGTCTCATGATACACAGCATAGAAATTCTATAGCTTAGACCAAAATAACAGTAACAAAAACTTAAAAGGGGCCTTAAGAATCATCTAGTCATTCTCCCCTCTCCCCAGCCCTGTGGTCCAAATCAACGGGTCACATACAGTTTCCATAATTTTTAGGTGGACATATTTTCCAGGAAGCTAAAGCACCTTTCAAAAGCATCTTGAAAATGTTTATACCCCTACGCTTTGTAGATTTGGCTCTCATTTCACAGTTGAATAAACTGCAGCTAGAAGCACGGTCTCCATCTTTTATTTGGCATGTTCTAAGTGAGTTAGGATCTTCTGGGCCAGCCTGGCTCAAAGCCCCGCTTCCCTATCTTGCATGCTCGAACCATTTGAATCTAGCCTGCATCTTCAGCTTAGCTGATTGGCTTGGTGCCTGCCCTCCACCCCACCTGGGTCTCAAACTGAGCCAATCATTTTCTCCCCTGGGAATCTGTAGTCACACGGGCCCCCTATGCCCCAAAGGGCCCTGTAATCCTGAGGGCCCGGTGCTCTGAAGGGCCTCATGCTTGGGGTTTAATGCTCTGCAGGTGCCATCTTCACTTCTTAATAGTCTTAGCTTTGAATCTGTGTTTTGTAAGTGAAGCCTGCTGGGGAAACAGAACACAGCGCAGGGGCTCAGCCTCAGCTCACTCATGGTCCTGCCTTCTACAGTCACCCCAGGAGGGCTTATCAGGGCCCTGCTCCGCACCCCCATTGCCGCTCTCCACCCTGCTGGTCTCCCCTGCCCTGCCCCACCACTGCCATCCTTCTATTCCCGAGGTGGTGACAGGGTTGCGTCGGCAGGGGCCCAGGCCCTGGTGCTCTGTGGCATCTTGGGGAGAGGCCTGGTGGCAGCCCCCCCTCCCTGCCCTGGGATGGCAGAGCTCTGGCTTGAGTACTGATGACTCAGCTGGGGGCCTCTCGACCACCCCTGAGCTATGTACCAAGAGCATGAAGGTTACAATCTCTTGGGGGTCCCCTGTCCACGACACGTTGTGGCCACAGGTCCATGGGAAGGAGAGTGCGTTCCTCACCCTGGTGGGAGCCACATTTGCATTCTGCACTGGGCCCTGCAAATTACGAAGCCCACCCTGTCTGCTGGTCACTTCACATAAGGACACACCAACTGGACATCTGTGGGGCTTAAGGCTGCTGAGACCTAAAAAAAAGAAAGAAAAAAGAAAAGAAAACCAGCCTGGATTTAGACAGCTACCTTGCATTGTTTGTCTTTCGAAGTGTCTGTCCCCTCTGGCCTCACCTGCCAGTATTCCCAGCCCCAGACAAATGCCTGACTGTAGAAGGTGCTGAGAAAATGTATGGGAACAGAGCTGGAGAAGATCCTCACTTTTCTCTTGTCCCACTCCCTGCCTGATGGCACCAACCGCATCACGTCCCCAGCCCAAAGGCTTCAAGCCAAAAAACATTACAAGTTAACATTACTCATGAACGTAACTAGCTAACATTACTAGTTACATTCAGTAGCAGCCACCTAGGAAATGGGCCCATTGTCACTTCATGCAGCCCCCATAAATGAACTTGGACGGGGAATACACAGCGCTCTAAGGAAGTGGCAGAGGATCCGGAAGTCAAAAACAGCTGACCTATCTGTTTCTATTAAGACATCGAAAATGGGCTGCCAACAGAACAAGGCTCAAAGGAAAAATGCAAAAAACAAGGATGTCTGTGGAAAGGCATCCAAAACCATGGAGCCTTCAGTGGGTTGGAAGGACCGAGCTCATCCCGGGTAATCACGGAGGGTGGGCAGGACGAGGCGAGGACGGCAGAGGAGAGGGTGGGCTGCTGTAGTGCAGGGCTTGTCAATGTCAACCACATGCATCTTCAAGCAGGCTCCTCCTCGACCCGGCCAGAAGGACTCAGGAAAAGGGGGAACCAACAAGCTAGGGGGTGAGGAGAATGATGCTATTCCCACACAAGGTAGGAATTCTGTAAATGCTTAAGGCTGCCAGCCACCTGTCGCTTCTAATGCTTTAGCAGTGGCGATAATAATGAGAACACAAAGAATGACGGTGGAGTTTTTTTATTGTTTTACTCTGTCAGGCACTGTGTTATACCCTTCTCATGCATTATCTCACTCTACCTTTGCCACAAACTTATCCCCTTTATATAGATGAAGAAACCGAGGTTCAGAGAAGCAACTAGCAAATGTGAGACCAGAATTTGCACCCAGGTTGGCTGGAATCCAAAGCCCCAATCTTTCCCCCAGGATATTACTCTGGTTTACTTCAACAATGATTAAAAAAATACTAAGGTGAACAGCTATCATTCATTCACTGCTCACTTTCTGTACAAAGCACTTGATGTACGTCATCGCATCTAGTCACTGCATCAACCTTTTGAGGTAGGTACTACGATTACAACTAGATTAC